CCTGCAACTCTCAGATTGCGAGTCGAGCGCCCTAACCACCCGGCCATGCCGGGCCCGGGATTTGAATAAGTCAGTATAGAACACAAAATATGATCAGTCCACAGTTTTCACGCTGCATAGAATTCTTGTTTATATAAGATAATTTTTCTTGTTAGAATGAAAATTGCATTGCCTTTGGTCCAGGGAAGGATATGTTTGAAAGTACTCAGATAATAGGACAACGACAGTATGAAAAGGCAAAGGTGAGTTGAAAAGTTTGGTGCAGAAGTGTTATATTTAAAGTAAAGCTGAAAGCATTATTATCCATTGCAACTGACTATTTGTTCTTTAACATCAAAAAATTATTCTAGCTCATATTTCAACAAAGTTTTTCAAACTGAACATGGAACAAAATTGTTTTCAATCTGCTTGAAAGTTAGGTATACACCAAATAAATAACATTTTACTTACTGTTTGGTTCACTGTTGTTTTTTTTCTCAAATATATTTGATTAATTAATTTTTTCAAATGCAAACTACTCTGTTTCTGTTAACTGTTTTTAAACACTTGAGTGTGTGTGTGTATCTAGTGCTTGAAGTGAGTCTGGATGAGATGGACTGCTATCCCACCTCTTTTCAAGAGAATCTAAAACCATTCTACTATCTTTCAATAGACTTGAAACCACCTCAGAACGTTTACAGTTGCCTAGGACTATGCCAAATATCTCAACCACCATTTCTTCTCCTCTTTGAACCAGTTAAACTATAAATATACAGAGTGACTATTTCAGGTTAATACATTTAGGCCTACTCTAAAATTATACACAAACCAATTAGGCTCTCTGACTCTCTTTTCTTTTTCAAATTCAAGAATTTCACAAATCATTCCATTCCCCCCCCTCCATGTCAAGCACTTTTGTATATATTAAAAAAAACTTGAATCCTTTCTTTTTTTACCAACCCCCCAGTAGTACAATGATAAGTTTGAAGAGTTATAATGTTAAATTCTGGGATTTGATACCCATGGTGGGCATAGATAGCTCACTGTGTAGATTTATGCTTAACAACAAATATAAAAAAAACCTAAAAAACAACTTTATTTATCAAACCTTTATTTAACCAGTTTCATAGCATCATAAATTACTTTTTTTGTATAAAAACTATACAAACTAGAAAACAACCAAACATATTTTTGAAATGTAATAAATTTAAGTTAACTTTATACAAAATGTATAGATTTTGCTTTTCATTTGAATTTTCAATTTATTAATTTAACATTTTTCATCTCTAAGAATTCTATCAGTATTTTAGTTTATGCAATTCACAAAAAATTCACATCCTTATTAGACATATTCTCACAATGATTACTACAATAAGGTGTTCTAATGATATTTTTGTACAAGTAAAACTAAAATGCCATCCTTATCACATTTTTGAATAATTCTATCATCTTTTCTCAATTTATTCAAAGCTTTTCTTTCTCCCTTGGAAATATTATCTTTTACCTCATTATAAGAAACACAAAGTGTCTTTGTTTTCTTACTAATAAAATCTAACTCCAAATTGATTCCCCTTCTTTTTTTTCACACAAAAAACTCTTTCAATCTTAACTTTCTAGTAAATTCATGTAGATCTCTAATTTGAATGTCATTAGGTCTGTTATTTAGTGGGAAGTTAATTCCTCATTTTATAAGTAATTTCATTCTCATCTAAATCTCTCTTACTTAAACCAAAAACCTTAAGGTGTTCAACAGGGGATATTAGAAGTTTATTTTTTGACTTCCGGATGCTGTTCTTGTTTGGCTTACAGTGTCCAACCTAGATGTTTGTGTTCTATCTTGATTGATACTTCTGAATGTTGAATTGTCTCTCATATAAAACTTCTCCTGATATTTTACATTTATGAAAAATGGGGATGATGTATTTTGTACAAATTTATCTTTTTATTTCCATAGAGAAACTTTCTTTTCAAAATTTCTTTAGGAGTACAGAATTTTCTATTGGCATATCCCAAATCATTTCCATTATCCTTCTGCTTAGATTGCCTTATTTTTCTTCTTTCCATATGTCTTATCCTCTTCAAGCTGTTCCAAAAATCACTTTTATTTTCTCAGCCAAATTTCTTGGATCTATTTTTCTTCTTGACACAGTTCTTCTCAATGTTCAGTCAAAATTCTAAAGATTTCTTTACTGTTAAAAAGCTTTCTAAAGTGTTCAGTAACCTCGGATTCAATTTAAACATATTTCAGGTTTTGATTTTCTGCTCTAGCTTGTAATGCTTCAGACTCTATTCTTACTGTTTTAAGTTTTAAATGTTTTTGAGTAATCTTTTCTTCTTCCATTACAACTTCACTAATTGACTTGTGAAATTTATGAGGGATAAGTGATGGTTCCTCTTCTATATGCCACACAACATTGAGTTGGTATGTGCTTAATTACAAATACACTCTTCTACATACTTTTTTCATAAAGATCCAAGTTTCTCTGCTCTCAAACTGCCAAAAGCATCAATTTTCTTTCATTTAAATGATTCTTTGTAAAACTTGCATAATCTTGAAGATTTCTTCTGCCCTCAAATATACACTGCTTTCTTAAGTATCTACTTTTATAAAAGTATTCTAGAAGAGCCAAGAATCAATTTTTCAATGTATACATTTGTCTTTGAAGTAACTTCTGTTGGATTTCCAAGTATATTTACAGTTTCTGTATCGATTCTTCTTCCATACAGTGAGGTTCAAACATTGATTATTTTAATTTTAAAAATTACCTAATAAACTTTGGAATTTTCCCAAATAAGAGATTTGGAAAATCCATCCCTAGTTTCCAGGGCCATATATATTGAAAGGAAAGTAGTAGATAATATCAAATATAACTCAAAGTAGTTTCACTTCAAGATGAAAGCTTATAAGAAAACTTGAACCCTTTATTTTTTATCAAACTGTTCTTTACTTACCAAACTCTTCTTCATTTAACTTGTTTTGTAGCATCACAGGCTACTCTTCAATACAAAAACCAGAAGATAATTAAACACATTTTTGAAACGTAATAAATTTAAGTTTAATTTTTTTCATTTTAAATATTTTGATTGTTTAATTTTATATTTGTAATTTATTTTGAATTAACCTGAGTTTTTTAAAATATTAAAATATTAAAATATTAGAATATTTATATTTTCAAAATTTTCATATTGGGTTCCTCTAATAGGCAATAAAGAAGGTTTTGGAGACTCAAGATTTGCTTTAGAGATTTGTATGATAATTGATAAGATGATTTAAATGTTTACTTGAAACAAGGTGTGAATTTTCATGGGTAATTTACAAGCTTTTTAATGTGTGTTACTCGCAAATAAAGCTTAATTTGAAAATGAAGCATTTCCCAGCTTTTTTTTTTTTTAATTCTGCTTTTATATCAGTAGATGACTAATGATCAAAGAGTGCATGGAAAGTTAGAGTGAACATTTTTGATTTTAGTTTTTAAAACAAGTTTCAATACTTTCATGTGTTCAATCATTGATTTCAGGAACTGTTTACTGGTGCTTCCAAGAAACTCCAAGGGCCTGTTCAGTTTATTCACCAGTACATTGACATGTCTAATATTGCTGTAAATTACAATGGGACTGAAGTAAGTGCAGGTGGAAAGATTGTAACAAAAAATATTCTTTGTAAAGTTTTGGAATGTTTTTTACATCCATAGGGTTATGAGACAAACCAGTAAAACTGAGATGATCCCAGTTTTTAGCCTTTTTTTTTCAGATCAGAAAAATAAAAGTACAGTTTCTTTCTTTATATCTAAATGCGAGTTTAATACATCATTATACACAGCTCCTTTAACTTTTAACTGGAGAATCACCTGACGGAGACAGCTCACACATTACAGTGTTCCCTCCATCTACATTTTTTTAATCTGTTATTGGACAGCAACAAGAATTGATATTTGAAGACCTGTCCAGCCACAAAAAAAAACAACAACACAAAATAGCAAATTTTTTCCTTGGGTCAATTCAAATTAACATAGGTGCATATTTTATTTTGTTCATTATTAATTTTTAATTAGATAAGCTTTTAAAATTTTTTGTGTATTTATGGTTTTAAGACATGGTGCAATAAACATAATATTATTTAGCAAATGGTAAAAATTGTGTTATTGCAATTTAAACTGTTTCAGAGCTGTTAGGGTTGTTCCATATGGAAAAATAGTCCCAGTTTTTCATTCTTGAAATATGGTAATTCTAGTAATAACCCAACAGTGAAGTAGAGTTTTGAAGTTTTTTTTTTCTTATCCATTATATAATGCAGAGTGAAAAGAGATTCTGGACCTAAATGTTGTTTTTGTATTTTTAAAGTGAAACCTGTAACTCGTTAATGGGGAATTATTTTGGATTTTTTGTATGCTTGATATTATTTGAAGTTTAAAGAAGTCCCATAGCTATTTATACCTTCATGGTCAGACATTGATGCCAGCAAAGGGGTACAAAGCTGTATTTTTGAATACAGAATACTGTGAAAACCTTCCATAAATCCTACAAACATAATGGTTTTTATATTTTCAGGGTCATACTTGTAAACCGGCAATGGGGTACAGTTTTGCTGCTGGTACAATTGATGGTCCAGGCGATTTTAACTTTCAACAAGGTATATATAAGTAATACCTGTTACTTATCCACTTTTCAAAATTTCTTTCCATTTATTGCTTGTCGAGTTGTATTTTAGAAGAGGCAGAGCCTGTAAAAATTTTATACATATGTTCCTCTGTATACATTACCAAACAGTACAATAAGAGATCATTTGGTGTGTGTTTATACACACAGTCAATCATTTCGGAAAGGATGACTGAAAGGTTATATGACCAAAAGTCATTATAATTATCAGAGTTAATATTCAAATAATACCACATTAAAATACATATAGAAACATAATAGGGCCAACAGAGACAAAATAATTATACAAGTAAGAATTTTATAAAAAGTATCTAAAATAGGGAGAGGTGCATTTTTTAGTATTTTGTAGTAAAGTGATTACAAGAGCATTGAAAAATTCCCAAAAAGTAGAGCTACATTGTCATTCAGAAAGAAGCATAGCACAGTGTAGAAGTAGCAGCATGTAATGTTCAGCAATTAACTGGGTGAATTCCAGTTGCAAAAAAAAAAAGATCCAGAAGAATATGTAACATTAAATGTGTGTAAACGATACTGATACTAATATTTAGATTATGATTTAGTCTTAATTTGGGATTTAAAATGTGATATTTTGTATTTATTTTGCAGTCTAGCATTAATTTAGACCAAAATTGTACTTTACATATACTAAACCTATTTTAAACTCCAGTCCTGATCTAGATCTATCACTTATATGCTACTTCTGAATTAGTTTTATTTCTGGGAGTCTATAATAGGCTCCTTGTTTATATATTAAGCTGCTCATTTATTATGAAGCAAAGCAATGCTACTGTATATATTTTTAAAATGTTTAGTTCTATATATATCTTTATATATATTTTAGATGGGAAAAATGTTTGTAGAGTGTTAATTGATAAGGTCTGGGTTGGGAAAACACCATGTATTTTAATATATGTTATATACAGAAATAAAATGTATAGATATATTAAGTACTTTGTATGTTTTTATTTTTTTATGCTTAGTTCAGTTATGTGTATCTGCAGTGAATCATTTATGAGAAGAATTGTTGATCAAGACTGGGGACTACTAATTGATATTACTACTTCTTACCGGTCTTAAACTTAATATGTCCTTTATTTAAAGCGGTAATCTATGCTATTGTAGCCTTTAGAAGAACAGTAAATCATGAAAGAAATTATATCAATACATATCTATAGATTTTCAAGAGTAATATATACTAGTTTTACTAATTGCATAATAGATGGCACTCTCACGACAACTATTAGCAATATTGTCACTTGCATCTTCACTTATTTTAAACTTTTCTCTGAATAATTAAATAGTGGAAAAGAAGACAGAAGTTAGGTTAAGAGTTTTATAATGGTCATGACTTACTGTGTGCATACTATTAGTGGGCTAGTACACACTTTCATAGTATGACTCATTTAGTATTGTTGTTTAAATTTCCACAGTTAAATAAGTATTTGTCATTAAACTTTTTTCATATTAAAACTATAGATGTAAAAACGACAACAACAAAAACGGAAAAAAAAACGATTTGCTGCTATTGGTATAAGATTCGTGCAGGAATCCGTGATTTATGTTTTGGATATATATATATAATAACTTGTATGAGATGATATTGAATCTTTGTGTAATTTAATTTGTCTTACTTTCTAATTAATAATGTCAGATTTTTGCAACAACTTACAAATGTTTTTATTGATTATTTACTAATGTGAAGGTACAACATCATCTAGTTCTTTCTGGAATCTAGTAAGAGATTTTCTTAAAAGGCCATCTGAAAGTCTGAAGCAGTGCCAGCATCCAAAACCCATTCTTTTAGCAACCGGAGAGGTACAGATTTTTTTTTTCTCTTTGCATTCTGCTACATGCTTTTAACTGCAATTAGTTAAACATCAAAACACGATCACAAAGATTTAGTTATTAAGAATGCCACGCACATTTTGAGTTTCTTTAAAATGATCAGTTTTACAGTTTCAAGAAAAACGTATTGTGCTTTTTAAATTTCCTAAGTGTTGATCAAATGTGAATGTGGAAATTAAATATATTGTTTAATAGGCTATTTTTTATTTTTCTGTTTGATAGCTGAAACATACGTGCTAATTATTTTGCAAATTCACGCTTATTACAGTTAATAATATAGAAACAAATTAGGTCCGAGAAAATTAAAATATATATATATATAATATGTAATTATTAAATTGGAAAGTATCTATAACTTAAATTTTTTTATTAATATCAGACTATGTTATATTCATGATTACTCTACCTAGATTTGCATATTACATTTCAATAAATATAATACAAAAGGAATTTGGCTAACAGTGTCACTTTATTAAATTATTGGAAGGTGTGAAGTATAACTTAGAAATGTCACTTCATAAAACCATTAGGAAATGGTGTAGTGTAACCTAGAAATGTCACTTTAGGAAATGGTGAAGTGTAACCTAGAAATGTCACTTTATGAAACCATTAGGAAATGGTGAAGTATAACCTAGAAATGTCACTTTATGAAACCATTAGGAAATGGTGAAGTATAAAAAAAAAAAAATAAGTAATCATTGCAATTTTCCATTTGCTTACTAGTCATTTTACAAATTTAGTTTTCTTAAAAAAATTTTATTGTATTTTGTAATGCTGACTAGAATAAATGAACTGCTTTTTGTTCTTTAGAAATAAACAGTTAATCCTTTTTGTCCATAAATGTTTCCAGAGATAAATAATCCCAGTGAGGTAAAATTGGAGGAAAAAACATCTGTACTGACTTAGTTAGTCATTTATTTCTAAAAAGTATTCTTGACTATATATTTGTTTTTGTCATGTTAGGATTTCATAGGTATGTTACAAGAGCTTATTTTTTGTTTCTTATTATTAGATGTCTTTTCCCTACAAGTGGCAACCTGATATTGTACCAACACAACTTTTAAAGATTGGAAGCTTGGTTATAGTTGCTGTACCAGGAGAACCAACGTAAGTTCTGAGGGCCATAGATGTTGATCTCTTTAGTGAAACATAAAAATGTAATTCTAGGGTTTATTAAGTTTATGGTAAATAACAGAAATTTCTTCACTGTCTGGTGGTAGTCAAACCATTAAAGAGCACAGTCAAATGAGTGAAACAATTACACTCGCATATCTACTTATTTTTAAGAGTAATCGTCTTCCATTTTCTGACACATCAATATTTCCAATGGTGTTTAGTTTTGTAAGTACCATGGAAAAAAACAATTCTGATTACGTTTGTCTGTAAATTATGGTAATGTCAATATTTGATTAATGAGTTAGTTGGAATGGATGCATGATTGTATATACAACCACTGAGGAAAATTACAGTCATTGTTTTATCTTCCAGAACAATGGCAGGTCGAAGATTAAGACAAGCTGTTAAAGAGGTAATCTGTTTACTTTTCATATTTTTGAATTGATTGGTTATTGTATATATTTACTGTTTGTGCTTGTGCCTTGTTTAGTCTCAGCTTTAAAAAAAAACAGCCTGTTCACTTATGTGACTGTACTTAAGCACCAGAGAATTTATGATTATTTAGTAATTGTATGTTATTAAGAAAATAATTACTATATATACAAAAAAAAAAATTGCAACCAAAATTTTGGTCTTAAAAAGTTTAAAACTTTATCTTCAGCATTATTTTATAGTATAAAACATTTCTTAATGAAACATTTTCAGTTGTATGGGTTTTTTTGAAAGAATAAAATCACTGATCAATTTCCTTAGATTTTACTAATGTATATTCCTCATGGCCATGCCTTTGAAACTCACAATAGTTAAGAGATTTTTTTTCTGTAATTCCAGGTGTTTGATGAAACTCTAACAGGTTCTGGTGATGAAATAAAGGTTGTGATAGCTGGACTTTCTAACGCATACTCCTCTTACATAACAACATATGAAGAATATCAGGTAAATCAGTTCTGACCTTTACATATTATTGGTTTTATGGATTATAAATGAAGATACTTTTATCTTTTCTGATGGTAGGGGTTTATCAATGAAGAAAGAACCGATGGAGCATTTACTGTCAAATTATTGTTTGAAAGATACGGACAATAATTTTCTTTCATCAAATCTGTTTATTCTCTAAACTTATCTGACATGAGTATTAGAAGAATATTTTTAAAGATATGTACAAGGGTGTTAAACACAAAAGCTTATATTCTTTATAAACTGTGAACATATGATATTAATTTGTTTTACATGGTTGTTTTAAAGCTTTGTTTAAGGCTGTACTAGAATGACATGGAAGCCTGTGTACACTGAGTTATACACTGTAATAAGGTTGCCCATGGAAATCTATAATCACAATACTAAAGTTGCCCATAGAAGCCTGTGTACACTGTGTTATACACTGCAGTAAAGTTGCCTATGGAAACCTGAGTACAGTATGGTATAGACTGTACTAGAGGTGTTTATGGAAACCTGAGTACAGTGTGGTATAGACTGTACTAGAGGTGTTTATGGAAACCTGAGTACAGTGTGGTATAGACTGTACTAGAGGTGTTTATGGAAACCTGAGTACAGTGTGATATAGACTGTACTAGAGGTGTCTATGAAAACCTGAGTTCAGTGTGGTATAGACTGTACTAGAGGTGTCTATGTAAACCTGAGTGCAGTGTGGTATAGACTGTACTAGAGGTGTCTATGGAAACCTGAGTACAGTGTGGTATAGACTGTACTCGAGGTGCCCATGGAAACCTGCGTACAGTGTGGTATAGACTGTACTCGAGGTGCCCATGGAAACCTGCGTACAGTGTGGTATAGACTGTACTCGAGGTGCCCATGGAAACCTGCGTACAGTGTGGTATAGACTGTACTCGAGGTTCCCATGGAAACCTGCATACAGTGTGGTATAGACTGTACTCGAGGTGCCTATGGAAACCTGCGTACAGTGTGGTATAGGAGACATTTTATGAAACTTCAATTTGATATAGGGTCTTTTCAAAAGTGGTTACACTTGCTAGTTTATAGAATTTTGTTTTTAATGAAAATAATTTTCTTAACAGGTTCAACGCTATGAGGGAGCCTCAACTATTTATGGACCTCACACATTACAAGCTTACATTCAGCAGTATCAGATGCTTGCCAATCACTTAGCTTTAAATCTAGAGGTGTCTGAAGGCCCACTTCCACCTAACCTCCTTTCTAGGCAAATTACACTTAAACCAGGAGTTATATATGATGGTGCTCCATTTGGTCGATATTTTGGAGAAGTTGTTGAAGATGTAGATCCTGTATATGCAGTGGTGAGTCATCCCAGTACAGCATAATGATTTACATGCTATTTTGAAAAATAATATTGTTAAGAATAAATATAATTATATCAAAAAAGTTATGGTAATTATTAGTGTTTTTGAATGAAACGAGGCTTACAGTATAGTTCAGAATTAAAATTATTTCAATATAACATGTAAATGAATGAAGGATAGATCCTGATAGATTAGGATTACTAAGTGTATAACCTAGTTGACATTCAACTTGCTCAAACATATGGATAGTTTCATATCAAAATATGATTTATTTATTTTTTTTTTTGTATAAACAGAAGATAGATGGACAAGGTCTTTCTTAAAAATTATCTTTAAAATATCTGAAATATTATAGGGTAGCCAAGTACGAGTGACCTTTGTCAGTGGACACCCTCGTAATAACCTACAGGTCAGTGAAATATTGGTGATTATAAAGTAAACTGTCTATGTTAGTAGGCATATATATATTTTTTTCACATAATATTTTATGTTGTCACTGTAGTTTACTAAATACCATTACTCAGTTTTTAAGTATTTATTACTCACTCATTGTAAAAACATGTTTATTTAATTCTTTAGCTTGAAAGAACTTTCCTTACTGTTGAACGTTGGAGTAACACCACCCACACCTGGGATGTAGTTGCGACTGATGCAAACTGGGAAACTAAGTAAGAGAGTAGCAATTCTGTTATCAAAAACCTAGATAGTTTCTTCATTACATTAGAAGCTAAAACATGAGCAGAAGTAAATATGATGCCAAGTTAACAATATTGAAATATTTATGGTGTATGGCAGTAACACATTTAAAGTTTTTATGTAGACAACAAATTAATTGTAAACTGAAAGAATTAAGTAATATGATTTTAAATTCATCACATGAGAAGAAATTAACATTTAAAAACAGAGACAATTTTTTCACATAAATTTCAATATATTTATATACGTTTTCAGCAACACTACTGACGTTTTGATAGTACTTGACCTGATAAAGGCTATAGTAAAGTAAGCAGTAGTTTGTACAAATAAATTAGTATTTGTACAAAAAAAAGTCCCAGTATTTTCCTTAATGAAAATTTAGTGACGACTGATTAAAGTAAGACTTGTAGTATTGTTATATGTTGTATATGGTTTAATAGCATACCTTTAAAAAATTGTAAGGCGTTTAAAAAAAAACGTTACAGTGCAATAACATTTTTATTTTAAAAATAATTCAATATGTGTGTGTGTGTGTATGCGAGATATTTCAGGACACACATATTTAAAATATTTGTGTGAAATTTTTTGATTAGAGTAAATCTTTTCACTTATGTATTTGCTAGTTAATAGTTTTGTTATTTCTCTTAATAAATATTTTGTGAAAGTGCTTTTACTCCAATATATCATTCACTTATGAGGAAGATACTAATTTTAGAGAGATTTACAAGATTGGTTAAATGACAAAAGTAGCAACATTATATTTAATACTTTGTGTACCACTACATTCAATGTGGTTTGATATGTACTACTACATTCTAAGCAGTTTCATTTGTACAATTAATTTCTGAATAGTTAGGTGTATAGCAATAAAATTCCAAGCTGCCAGGTGTGTAGCACTAAAATTCGAAGCTGCCAGGCGTGTAGCACTAAAATTCCAAGCCACCAGGCATGTAGCACTAACATTCTGAGTAGTTAGTGTGTACCATGATATTCTGAGTAGTTAGTGTGTACCATGATATTCTGTGTAATTGGATTGAAACTCTACTCAAAAGTTAGATTTGTAACACTATATTTACACAATTAGTTGTGTTAGTGTTTACATGAAATTGTTAGTTGTATAACACACTATATGTAAGGTAGTTTAATATGTAACATTAACCAAGTTTTCTGTGTGCTACTAGTTCTAAAGTTTATAGTGCTGTAGAACAGTGACACTCACGATTTGCTTTTATTTTCTTTTATATAGATTTCATTGGCATAGAACCAGTAGCATATTTGGAGAAAGTAGGGTTATTATAACATGGGATATTCCAAGTGATGCTTCACCTGGAACATACCGTATCAGACACTATGGGCACAAAAAAAACCTTCTCCAGGTGATTCGTCCTTATGTAGGAACATCAAGTGAATTTGATGTTGTTGCCAGTTAAGTTTACCAAAAATACATGTAACTTTCCTAAGAAGAGAACTATTAACTGTACCCATAACTATTGTATGTTTGCTAGCAATGACTATATAAAACATCATTGATTGAAAATAAGGTAATATTTTTATTTATGTTCATGAAATCTATAACCTATGTATATAAATAATTACACAACTGTGTTAAAGTGCATTCAGTATAAATGTCTGTTTGTATCACATGATTTATTCCCCCGTACTCTTTAATATTAATGTAGTCGCGTTAGAAAGTTGTTAATCATGTTAAATAAAGTCTGTTAACTATGAGAGTTCTTGAATATTCTTACTAGACAAGATGTATTGATGTCTTAAGACAAGTTAAAGTGTTTATTTCTAATTGTAAGAAAAAAAGGACAAATTCCCATTTGCAATTTGACCCAAAATGTCAAAATCTATATATTTTTTTCCCCTACATTTATCAAAAATTGGGGTTTCTTTTTTTTCAAATAAATGAAATTTGATAGGAAGTATTGGACCAAGATTGCAAGTTTATTCATCAGTAAAATAGTTTTCCAAAACAGACAGACATCTCTAAGTAAAATAAGATAAACACTTGTATGTTTCTGTTTGATAAAGATTGTTAATGGACAGTGCTGCCTTTGGAAAGCTTGAGAATTGGCAAGATATAATACAAATTTTATCTTTATCTCTTTGTCCACAAGACATTTTTAGGGCAAAGCTCTATACTCTATAGATTGAGAAGTTTCTTTATGTAACTTTTGTCTTATGGAGGAAGGTTTTACATCTTTGATGAGAAATAGCTTTTCTTATCCTTAACTCCTGCTAGATAAAGACATTAATTCTCAAGTTATAAGGATGTGCCTTAAAATTCCTATTTGACAAAGAACTACAGAAAAACTTATCTTAGTAAATGACTTTTGGTTACTTCTTAGTCTTGAATAAAAACCAAAACTATTTTTGGTTTTACAAGCACATATCAAGGTAGCATTATTTGGTAGAATAACTTTTTCTTTTTTTCTCCTGACATGTTATTCAAGAAGTTTTTTTGTTTTTTTTTATTGAAGTAAGCTCTTTCTACTGATCTTAAATTTTATGTTTACTTCAAATAATAAGCATTCGCTAGTTAGCTGTAGGACTGAAATGTACTGACATTATAAAAAAACAAAAACATTCTTGATAACTTGCAGAATATTTTAAGTATAATTATTATTGTTGCTTTGATTATCTAAGTGACTTAGACCGTCTGAATACTGACAATTTTCTTTGTTGAGGAGACTAAACAAACAAACGTCAAATCCTTATTGTCAGGAACATTCTTTCTGAGTTATATAATATGACTGAGTCAAGAGGCACTTTTGAATACGAATGTACTGTGGGAGTTTAGAATTACTGTCTTATTTCTAGGGCATTTAATACCATGCTTATAAATATTCAGTAAATTACTGTCAGAACATGTTAATGTATATGTGAATGTGTATATTTAATAAATTTGAATATTTAATGGCCATTAGTTCATTGTTTGGAAAATGTGTACATTTCTTGTTGAATAATGAAGTTTCTCAAATTAACTGGTCAATGTACACATTATCCAGTAGTAATTATATATTATCTGGTAAGTTTGCAAAATTGTTTTACAGATTGTTACATTATGTACATTCTCTAACGATATTGATTATTATGCATAATATCCAAAGAATATGCAGACTCTTTGCTTATGCACATTCATTGTACTAGATACGTAAATATACATGTAAATGTAATTTAGCTGGTTTACGTTATAATTATGTTTATGACTGAAATAATAACAGAAGTGAGAGTGTTGGTCAGTTATGTTAAGTTTGAAGAAGTGTAGAGACAATACAGTTAATTGTACAAGACTGTTAAAGGTTCCAGTTGTACTTTGAAGTTTAATCCATAGGGTACGGTCTGCCTCTGGGAATTGAATGCGAGTGTGCTGTACACAGTGTATGGCTCGCAAACATTCACAGCATGTTTAAAGGATTATGTCACTATTTATTCTGCCTGGGAATTGAATGCGAGTGTGCTGTACACAGTGTATGGCTCGCAAACAGTCAGAGCAAGTTTAAAGCAGCCACAGTCAAAGGATTTATTCTGCTGAAATATTTAAATATTTGTACATTAACAATTTAAGATTATTTTACAAGATTTGAAACGCCTAATTATACTGTAATTTCATCAAAGTATTGACTTGAAATCATGATACGAGACTATCGATACTACAGTGTAACAAGAGACTGTTGTGATGCTACAGTTGATACACTGCTTTAACAAAACACTGTTGTGATGCTACAGTTGATACAGTGCTTTAACACAAGTTGACAAAACACTGTTGTGATGTTTTGGTAAGTCTAGTTGATACAGTATAGATCTGTGTAAAGCATCATTATGCTTACATTACTTGAGCAACTAATACTTGTAATTGTGATTGTGGTTACCAATGTTTGCAGTACTTTGATTAAAAAACGTTAACACTTTTGTCATGAAGAGACTAAACAATTTTTGTCAGTATTTCCTTTGTCCACGATATTTCATAATCTACAATGTTCAAACCAGAAAGACGAGCAATCAAGTAAGAAATAATGTAAAAAAAGAGGTAATCATCTGATAAAACGTTTCCCTCTTCAACATTTATTGAAAAATTGGTCATTATTTATATAAACAAACATTTGATGTATTCAGTGTGAAAGCTGTGACAGACAATCTTGTAAATTTTGTAGCTATAGTTCTTACTTCTACTCTTGGAAATAGCCATGTATTTTTTTTAATTAGTCATTAATCCAAAAGTTGTGAACCAAAATATTTGTTGTGATTTACAAGTCGTAGTAACTTAAGTTGAAATACTTTGATCCAAGTCAAATTTTTCCAATAAAGTCATTTGTTGAAATAAAAAATATACACATGCTGTTTTTTAAATGTTTTTGTGCGAAACATGTCAACATGTAAACAGTTAGGAGTAATATGTATCATACTTTGTATAACAAGCTATCTTAGAAATTATACGTTAAATTATGTTCCGTTTGACTAGCTTTACATGGATGACATCTACGTGTTATGGAGTTCGCAGATTTACCGATTCTATGTGATTGTTTTGAAACACAACTGTATTTACTGTATGTAACAATTGTTTGTGAATACAAATTATCCGTTATTTTGGAGTGGCAGTTAACGAAGTAACAACTATGTGCATTTTAAAAACATTGTAAACCCAAATATATATAAAGCAATGTCCATTAATCAGTTCTATTACGTACACATTACGCTAAATCTGAGATGTTTATTCTTTTAGAAAATAAATGGATTTCATCTATTCCATCTTCAAATTCTAATAATATTCAAGCACTTTTTGCATCTTATTAAAATAATATTAGAATAAAAACTTTGTGTAATATTATTTCTGAAATACTTCAGTAGATGGCAGGAGATAAATCGAAATTACGCTATCTTAAAATCAACATGACGCTCTTATATTTTAAAGTCAAAGTTTCTATCTAGTTAAGAAAATCAAAGCAGTGGCGCTTCAAGCGTTCTTTTTTTTTTGTTTCGTGGGGGGGTACAAAAATTGACACTTGTATGTTAGTAGAAGTTGCAATGTATAGCACTATAAAATCTTAAAAGATAATCTCAAATGGGGGGGGGGCATGCCCCTGAATCATAGACAGCGTAGCATTCCTTAACTTTCACTGCATACAATTTAGTAAGTCTACTATAGTATTATACTGAAGTCAGTAAATATAGGTTTGAAAAAAAATCTGTTGAAATATTACATGAGCCATGTTGTCCTGAGGCCCGACCTTTTCTCGGCGTCCTTTCTTCATAATAACAATTCTATCACAAAACATGACTTCTTCTGTCATGCATCACAGCATTCCTAAAGCAGGTATGTTGTAATACTTTCTGGGACTACTTTTTACAATTCCATACGATCAAATAAGTCTTTATGGTGAAAATGCGAGTCAAAGAAAAAACGGGTCCAGAACTAAAAATAATTATAAGATTCTTATCTCTCAAAACCTTGTATAAAGAACTATTTTAAGGATATAACTGTGTTATATTTAAGGTTGCGTTTTATCTTCAATATAAAGATGGATAAGTTTCATTTTTGTTCTAGAATTACTGTAACATAAAACTACTAAAGGAGCATTTTATTTAATTCTCCCCAAAACACTTATTGTACCATCTATTACGATTTTGCTGTTACTGTGAGTACTATTAAAACGTTGAATAAATGTATTTTTTTAGGATTCTTTATAATTAAAAGAAAATATACTTCACAAACAGAACGTGTATTTTGTTTGCAAGGATGCTTCTGAAAATACTGAAAAATAACCAGAGTTTCTGAATTACGTTTCACTTACAAGTTCTAAAAAATCCTTCAGATCAATTGAAAATAATATGGATTTGAAACCCTTTCATCACTTTCACCAAGAGACAGATTCGAATCAATTCATATATATATTATACAAAAAAATAACGATTCTAAGCCTTCCAAGTATTTCCAGCAACAATAAAGAGATTTACAAATTACGTTTTTATTCCAAAAATATAAATCAAAATTGGTCACATTCTGTCGGTGAACTATAAATTGAGCAAGAAATATTTCGCGTCTTCGTTTTTGCTCTCGCTCTACAGTTATTTTTCAAAACTGTGCCTGTTTCTGTTCAAATGCAACAGTTTAAATTGTAACATTTGCAAAATTATCGCCGCCTACCGACAACATTTTTAATTATATGAAGTTCATTTTGATTTTTCTGTGTCGAAGCTGTCCAAGTACTGATCGTCATTTTTTATGGAAATTGTCCACTTCCTTTTTTCTTCCATGACTATTGTAGACTTTCATCCACTATCACCCACTAACGAATGGTATACAAAGCTTTCTAAGGGATGATAATTACATGTATCCAAACAAGTGAACATTTAACTACAGTTTTTCTCCAGATAAATTAGTAATGTTATAGTAAGAATGATCGGGAAATCTGTCGAGTTCAATGTATTCGTGTTCACTAATAAGAAGCTTGTCTAAAAGACGAACGAGTTCCGGAAAAGAAGGCCGTTCTTTGGAATCTTTATCCCAGCAGTAATACATTATATTGTACATTTTTCGCTTGCAGTGGTCAGGCTTTTCTAGTCTGTATCCATCCCTGACCCGTCCCATCACTTCAGCTGCTGCCATCCCTGGGTAAGGGGTTGAACCTGGAAATCAAAGAACCAATGAACACACTGTTAACACGTTGGGTGTCGCACTAAACCTTACAGTAATAAGCAATTACTCACTGTGTCCATTGTTATGATAGTCATAGTTTGATCTTTACCTGTTTGTTTGTTTTAAATTTCGCGCAAAGCTACACGAAGGCTATAAACCGTCCATAATTTAGCAGTTTAAGACTAGTCATCACCGCCAACTTTTGGGCTACTCTTTTACCAACGAATAGTGGGATTGACCGTCACATTATAATTCCCCCACGGCTGAAAGGGTTAGCATGTTTGGTGTGACGGGGATTCGAACCCGTAACCCTCAGATTGCTAGTCGAGCGCCCTAACCACCTGGCCATGCCGGGCCGGTCCTTACCTGAATACGTATATAATGTAGATTTGTAATACATACAAAGATAACTATTATCATGTCCATTGTAAAACTAAGTTAGCTGTACTCACTGAAACAATCGGACTGGAACTGATCAATAATAAATTGGAATTAATGTGGCGTCAGAGGTAGGGAAGGATGTTTGAGCCCTTCTAATATTTATGCATGGACAAATTAAACTATTGTACACACTTCAGCTACACGTACTGCAATCCAATTACAAGAGCTACGATTACACGTTTTTCATTACCACCTCCATTTCTTGCCTGTTGTCATACATAAGTACTGTGTCTGCCTCCCCAAGACAAAACTGACGCCAGGCCCGCTCAGGGGTTCAGAGAAGCTCGGGTCACTTCTATCTTTTGAGGCCCCTGACTATAATAAAAAAAATACATATGACAAATGAAAACAAAATAAGACAATCATTAGCCTAAGTGTCTAAATCTGAGTCCCCCTTTGAGTTTGAGGCCTGGGCCAAATAGCCCTCCTGCCCCCCCCCCCCCTAATTGGTCCTAACTGTCGCACGCGAGCCAAGCACTAATGAATAAGGACAACACAGAGGAAAAACAACACAACGTCTTTGCTTTATTGTAATTGGTATTTAACAATTTTGAGCAATCTATTTAATGATACACTTGCGTTTGTCTCTCCGGAACTGTTGTCGCAAATTTTTCGATCAAACGCTATAAATTTCATATCGTTAGAAAGGCCTTTGTCCGAGAAGTCCGGATTGTCTACTGGCTTTTCCCATTCAGAATCACCTTACCTGTTTCTTGCTTAGTCAAACTTTCTAATGCATCCAATATACTGGCTTCGATTTCAACTTTAGTTTTTTTTATTTGCAAAGTATTTCATACAAATAACACCTAACCTGCGTGTAATTTCCTAAAATAAGTTAACGTTACACTAAATACAATTTCTATGGGTTTTCTAGACTTGTTTAGGTTAAAAATACGCATACGCAGATTGTTCAAAACCATATGCTTATCACTTTGTCAACAACCATTCAGATGTTACTGCATATTCAGCTACGTTTGTCTTCATTACAACTTTACATTTACTTTACTTTGCAATAATTTAGCTTCAGTTCATTTCATAGACTGCTATAAACACCTTTTAGCTACTTCTTTTTTTCTTTAGTACAGGTTTTATTCTTCGTTTTTGTGAGTTTCAACTCATAAAACTGTCATACACTGAATGCTCATAACTGTTTCATACTCTGTACATTATTATAAATACCATTACTTAACTTCAATGTTTACGTGTAGTTTTATTAAATAAAGTTACGTCTACGTGAGTCTGTTTGTCTGACCGCATAAAATCTTTAAAATAGACCGGGATTTATCGATATAACATACAATGGCTGCGAGAAAGCGTAGATTAAACGCCGTGCGTGAAAATGATAGAATAAGGAAAATTCAACCGAATATATATTAGTTCTTAAGCCCCATCAATAATTATTTTATTCCAACGCCACTGGTTGTTAGGGAGGAAAGTTGCCACAAAAGTGATAAGTAATCTTGACATTTGGTTAATTACCATGACTCAGCAGAAGGTGTACGTAGATAAAAGCTAAACTACCCTAGAATGTCCACATATGAAAGATTTATTGGGGAAAATGCCAGCCTACGGAGTTCAGAAGAACGGGTGCTCTTCGGTGAAACATATTCTATAAAGCTACGACATTGTAGTATAGGCCATAGCACGTCGTATACGAAAACAGAAAATATGTTACTTCTTGACAAAAAAAATAATAAAAAAAAATGCACTTTTAACAGAAATAGTTAAAATTTATTTATCCAAAAGTAGCAAAAATTTTACTTTATCTTTTCTTCGCCATTTAGCGGCGGGGGTGGGGTATTATGAGGTAATAGTTGGAAATCGTTTCATCGAAATTATTCACCCAAAACAATATTTTTCTTTTCCGTAATTTATCTATTCTGGCCTAAGCAGCCAAAGTTATCTGTTTTTTTTTCTCTCTCGCTCCCCCTGGCCCGGCATGGCCAGGTGGATAAGGCGCTCGACTCGCAATCTGAGGGTCGTGGGTTCGAATCCCCGTCACACCAAACATTCTCGCCCTTTCAGCCGTGGGGGCGTTATAATGTGACGGTCAATCCCACTATTCGTTGGTAAAAGAGTAGCCCAAGAGTTGGCGGTGGGTGGTGATGACTAGCTGCCTTCCCTCTAGTCTTACACTGCTAAATTAGGGACGGCTAGCGCAGATAGCCCTCGTGTAGCTTTGCGCGAAATTCAAAAACAAACAAACTCTCTCCCCCCCCCTCTCTCTCTTGGGGAAAGTACTGAAACGTATGTTCAATATTTGGTTCTCCTTTATATTGTCCCCCGCTAGGGCAACGGTAAGTCTATGGATTTACAACGCTACAATCAGGGGTTCGATTCCCCTCGATGGACACAGCAGATAGCCTGATGTGGCTTTCCTATAAGAAAAAACACATTCTGTATGAACTCGTATCGTTCTTTATGTATACCTCACTGGTGAGTATAAATGTTATTTTTTATACGCTTAACTATTTGGGCCACATAGAAAAAAACACACAAAGCTCTTTTCTTAAATTTTCAGTCAGAGACTATATTCAACAAATGATTATACACTTGTCGTACCAACGCTAGGGACTTTGTAGTTACGTTATGCGCCTCAATCTAACAAACCAACAACAGGATGTCAGGTTAACTCTTTAAATATTACTTTGATGACTTAAAAGTTCTATTACCAATTAATCCAGCTCTTAATTAATGAACTTACCTAGTGTGACAATCTCCCACATCAGAATTCCGAAAGACCAAACATCAGTTTTAGTGGTGAATATGTTATCAAACAAAGACTCGGGTGCCATCCAGCGTATTGGTAGCCGTCCCTATGGGGTCAGAGAAAGGGTTGTTGTCAGGGTAATATATTCACTTAGAAAATCAATAAACCTACCAGCGATAAGAAACACTTAGTAAAACCAGCATAGATAGCTAATTAAGGCTTCAAAATTGTCTTTGAGATTGCAGCTTGAGACCATAAAAGGGAAGTTAAAGGGATAAAGGGACATACATATCCCCAAAACTCGATAGGAGTGTTTGAAGTCTTAAAGCCAAGTATTACCAGTATCAAATATAAGGTAATGCCCCGCCCCAATTACTTTATTCGGTAAGATCTTCAGAATACAGTAGATTTGTATTCAAGGCAGGGAAAAGGGGATAAACTACAGATATATGTACTACAGTTAGACACTTAACACAGTAGCAACTTGAGACTTTTGTAATAAAGATATATTGGAACACACTAAATTGTGACCTTATAATACATACGACTTTCAGTTTCTGCGTCAATAGAATTATTCAAAAAAATAAAAACTTTGCAGGTAATATTTGGGCAAAAATGACCTATTCTTTGACAAGGTATATGTAATTTCATGCATGTGTGGTGCGAATTAAAGCGCTATTACTAGGAACTCCTTGTAACGTTTATAATGTCTCTGGGTTCGTAGTTTCCTATTACATATACTGAAATTCAATTTTACTCTTAACTCTTATAAAATAAATATAAAATCCCAAACCCCAAATATGTCTTGCTTTAGGCTGTGAAGGTTGTTGTAGGGTATATTAATACAAAGTCTCAGATAAATTGGTTGAAATATACAAGAATGGCAAACCACAAGCCCTAATTCTGTGAAATATTTTGAACTTTGGCCCTTATAAAATCTAAAGTAAAGACAAATCTCAAATACGTTTGTTTCAGTCTGTGGGGGCTGTTGTAAAGTATCATTGGGCAAATTCTCATCTAGTTTGACTGAAATATAAAGGAAAGACAGGCTAATAACCCTTAATTTGCCAAAAAAAAGTTGTTTTTTATTTGACCCCTTTTAAACCACAAGAAATGAACAAATCTGAAATCTGTTTATTTCAGATGTGGGGCTATCGCAAGGTATTATTGTGTAAAGTCTCATCTAGATTGGTCAAAACATAAAGTACTAGCGGCCCAAAATATATGTTTTGTAACGTTTGATCTTTGATCCCCTAAATTAGGAATGACTACTAAATTAACGGTATGTATATATCTTCTACGTTTATATATGGTCGGGCTAGAAATAAAGGAGGGGTACATAAATATTATGGTTGGGAGAGAAAAAAAAAGAATAGGAAGAAAAACAAAAGAAATACTATATATCTATTTCCATATGGGAAGGACGTAAACATTTCTGTTACTTCAGACAATATACCTCAGACTTCCTTTCGTACACGCGGTTGATTATTACATCCCTTGCAAATCCAAAGTCCGCAATTTTACAGGTTTTGTGCTCTCCAACCAGAACGTTCCTGGCTGCCAGGTCCCTGTGAATTATCTGGGAAAAAATGACGATTGTTGATATTTTAGATATAGCAGATTTAATGAGGGAAAAAAACTATATTTTTAAAGCAACGAGAGTATTTACTTATTTGAACATTTAGGTAAATGAAAATCGACCCTCAAATTTTAGGTTTAACTTTAAGATGGTACATAACTTAGACTATTAGAATTTTTTTTTAGTACAGTAAGTAGTCTTAGCAGGATCATTTCCTGTTTTCAACTAGGAGAATGTATATATATATATATATAGTATTTCACGCATAGTTGTCTAATAAGCAGTCGAAAACAATATCTAATAGTATCTTATGATAGGCAAAATATAGCTGTTCACTCTTCTCTTTAAAATCAATTAACGTTCGTCTGTGAAGCATTATCATATCTTAAGAACTAAAAGTGATTACATCAGTTATTTTATTTTTGTAACAGAAATTTTGATACAATTAATTTGTTTTGTTTGTTAAGTTTTCACGCAAAACTACTCAAGGGTAATTTGTGCTAGCCGTTCCTACTTTTGAAATGATAGGCTAGATTCAAGGGTGCACAATTCAATTTTTTGTCAGGGCCAATTTGGAATGAGATTGAGACTTGGCGGAGTAACATTTCTTCCTCCGAAAATTTCTTTAGCCATTTCTGTTTTCTGCCAACTCTAAAAGACTATTTAACAAAATTTCCATTAAATTAAACTCTTAACTTTAATAACAGACAAAAACATTTCCTTCAAATTAAAAAAAGAACTTTCAACTCTGAGTATATAATTTCGTGTCACAGGCCATACAAAATGAGATGGCGGACTAAATTTGGCCCGTGGGCCATATGTTGTGCACCTCTGCGGCTAGAAGGAAGGCATGTAGTCAACATTACCCACCGCCAATTCTTGGGCTAATCTTTACTAACGAATAGTGGGATTGACCATAACATTATAACCCCTATGGCTGTAAGGGCGAGCATATTCGGTGACGGGTTTCGATTCCGCTATCCGCAGATTGCGAGTTGAGTGCCCTAACCACTAGGTAATACCAGGCCCTATTGTTTCGTGTATTTGCAAATAAATGGCGATCCCGATTTATTTTTATTTTTGGCGTAGCCACTTTGCATGTCATATTTTATTATTGTGAAGTGAATCAGCTCAAGGTAACACAAAAAGTAGATATAAACGTGGTTATTAATTCTTTCATTCTGCAGTTTCTTTATGTCTCAATGTAACGATATTTGTGTTCTATTGTTATTCAGTGATATTTCATGGTATTATTAAAATTCCCTTTTTTTTTCTGCCAGAAGTCCCCAGTGGCGCAGCGGTATGTCTGTGGATATAAAACACTAGAAACCGCGTTTCGATACCCGTGGTGGGCAGAACACAGATAGCCCATCGTGTAGCTTTGTGCTTTATTACAAACAAACAAACAAATTGTGTCCGAAAATTAACTGTTCTGTTAATTACTCTTATATTTGGGTGTTTTATGCTTGTAGAAACACATTTATTATCATTTTTAAAGTGGCTTAAGTTTTTGACTGAACTACTCTTGTAAATTGGAGTTTAATGTTTGTAAAGATACATTATTATTTTCAAAGTGATTTGAGTTTCTTGGACTGAATTAAAGCGTTAAGCTTAATATTTTCTAGAAGTTTCGTATCGGCCACTGCGGCAGTTGTACGAATAAGGACATTCTCCTAACTGAGAATACATTGATTGATGTGTCACTGAGTTATTATAAATAGAATATAATGTGTTCGTGGTATTTGTTAAGCGCTTTGAGAAAGAGTTGTTGTACTCTTGCTAAGAATCATGATACGGTAATTGTTTATGCTTAATGTTCAGCAACTTAAGGAAATAAATCAAAATTTTGTTGTTACTTGAAAGTAAACTGAAGTTTTATCAATAAAAAACTCCTGTCTGAATAAGATAACCTAAAAACAATTATCACCCCTTTAGATGACAAGTATTCCATTCCTTTAGCTACTTGGTAGGCGAATGATGTCAGGTCTCGTGAAGAGAGGTGTCGAGAAGTGCCATGCAGGTTTCCATAGAAACGCTCTGCCCGACTTTCTCGAAGGTAGGACTGCAGTTTCCCTCCTGTTACATATTCCATGATGACGAACAATGGATCTGGTTGTACAACAATAAACCAATTTCAGAAGTGAAACAACTTACAATCTATACTTAAAATCAGTACACTTTTTTTCTGTAAAGATGATATACGTTATCTTGAAGTAAAAAAAAAAAAGCTACACATTGTACACGAAAAATGTGAAATTACTATCACAAAGATTTACGTTTATAGTTACTAATTGCCAGGTTGATTGTTAGTTTTGCTCTAAGGAGACAGCTTGCTGTGATTGGAAGTTAATATTAACAAGGACGTAACGCTATTTATGTCATTAAGCATGCGAGTAGAATTTTTAACCTAAAAAAACTTTAGAACTGAAAGTAAGACGACAACAAAAAGAAAAACACAAAAGGTTAAGAAATAAATTTCAAAAGTTAGGAGATAAACATGTTTTTTCTATCATCGCAGAACGTCCACGGGGCTCAGCCCCAAAAACTGCTAGGGAGTTACACCCCAGACCCGTAGACAGCATTAGTAACTATATTTTCTTTTTAATATCATTCTAAGAATTATAATAATTTTGATCACATCCTTTTTTGTTGGCCCGAAAAGGAATTCCAGTACGTAGAACGCTGTTAGATGTATGCCACTGCCAAGGAGGCCTTTCATAAAATATTAGAAAACAGCTAGAACAGATAGGTTACAGCATAAATGTTTGGTTGAAACGCGATTAATACCAGTTCTTTATGAAATAAACAGTCTAAAGGTGTAGGACACCTTAGCTAGCAAAGCATGTCATTTAGAAATAGTGTGCGTGATATAATGCTATATTAAGGCTGATAATAATTCCAATCGTATAATTTTTACGAGCCCAGTACGGGTTTCCAGTAAAAAAAAAGACTGTACAGGCACCCTAGGCTTAGTAATATTTCAACTATATAATTATTAGTTAGTGTTTTGCTCCTTTGGCGAAGGCGTTTTTACTCCCTTAGCACTAAAAACTGTTTGTAACCACTATCGTGTTTTAATTCGTAAAAGTAGGCGAGGAATGAAAAAATAAATCTATGACCATAAAGCATTTATAACTAACCTTTTTCAGTGCAACATCCCCACAAAGTGACGACATTAGGATGTGGATCCAACAGTTTCATTACTTTTAGTTCACTCAGTAAATCTTTCTTCTCTTTCTCAGAAGCATTTTCTATATGAAAACAAAACAAAAAACACGTCAGATAGTAGTTAATGTAATCATACTTGATAGGATTCACACACCCCGTGTATTAAGGAGATGTTTTAAGGCACAGTAATACAACTTCAAGAAACAATAAAAGAAATAATTAATTATAGATCCAATGAGTTTAGTTGGATATAATTTATGCAATAATTAATTATAGATCCAATGAGTTTAGTTAGATATAATTTATGAAATAATTAATTATAGATCCAATGAATTTAGTTAGATATAATTTATGAAATAATTAATTATAGATCCAATGAGTTTAGTTGGATATAATTTATGCTATTATGCAGTATTTCTCTCGATGTTTATTATCATTTCTCACATTTATTTGGCCATAAATGTGTAGAGCTTTCCCATTTCTGGTTTGTTTCTTATTAAGATTAAGAGAGGAAAAAATAGCATGTGAAAGACAATAATTAATAGCAATAATGTTTCATTCAGAACTAAGCTCTAAGAGCACATAATGAGAAGTTTCCACACGTAAAAAATATGTCTCCATAGAAATTAGTCGGATCGTGTTTAGAACACTCACTACTAGTTATCAAGGTATTCACGACCATAAATATTTAGAAGATTTAGGCCTGCAAGTAAGATACTTTGAGGAACTACTGGGAGGTCAAAGCAGTTTGGCAAACTACGACTATAGATGAACAGATGCTTGATACATACATTGTTCTCGTGATTTCAAAATAACTTATTTCTGTAGTAAAACATCAGAATTCAATGTCATGCACGTTTCTTCAAGAAAGATTGATGGCTATCCTAACTACATTGTTCGAACATCAACCAGTGTAGAAAAATATGTGGATAGAATGTCACCATTTGTTGAAAGTTGCCATATTCCTGGACTTCGTCAGGAGTTTAATAAAAGTTCTTGTTTTTTATAATAATTGTAACACCTGACGAATTGCAGGTCAAGCTATTCCATAATTTCCCTTGTCAGGGCTTTAAATATGAATGGGTTGAGGCTTCTTCTGCATTAAGTGTCTGTGATTTGTTGGCGATAAATGTCAACAATGAACGGACAATCCACTTGTTTTAAAATAATATAATTAAAAAAAATCAAACGTATATACAAAAATTCTTTACACTGTAGGAAATCACAGTTTTATCGAAAACTCTAAATAATTATCTTTTCTTCTTCTGTAATCACAATATAATTAATGATAAGTTCATTTAAGTTACCCCTTGGGTTACCACAGTTGTATACAGAGTTATAAATAATTCTCTTTTACGTCAAAAGTCCACACAGGCTGGTTCAGTTACTTTAGAATTCAACTGACAAGACGAAGTATTTTTCTCTATTCTGTTTCTTACTGTACAATCTGCGATAGATTCACTTACGTTACTCTATGGGTTACCACAGTTATATCTCGAACTTTAAATAATTGTCTCCTTTTCCTCAAAGTCCACAAAGACGGGTTCAATTAATTTAGAACACCCTTTGGCAAGACAAATTATTCTCTTTATCTCCATTAAATTGTGAAACTCACTTTAAAATATTGACCGTTATAGCTAATCAATCACACATCGGCTAACTTCGCGTTTTCTAACTTTTTCCTGACTGAACATTTACTTGCCCCCAGTGACACAGCGATATGTCTGCGGATTAACAACGCTAGAAACCGGGCTTCGATACCCGTGGTAGGCAGAGCACAGATAGCCCATTGTGTAGCCTTATGCTTAATTACAAACAAACAAACTTATACTTACTTGAGCTCGCTTGGTCGCCTATATTTATATATTGTTCACTGAGGCCTCTAACTTTCTCTAAACTACGCGACGCTAAAATGGAATAATACTCACTTAAAGTAACGAGAAAAATACCGAAGATTCGAGTAACTTGGCGTCAACAATACTGCAACAATTGAACCACACACACAACGTATGACTCTTACAGAATTACGCAACCAAACTATCGCGTTTAAAATAATTACTTTTAACTCTCTTGTTATGAAAAGTAAATAATCAATAAATATTAGGTCACAAAATGAATTAAATAATTTGTACAGCCAACAAACACAAAAATGTACTTCGGAAGAATATATTCCCAGGAGCTACATTATATTCTAACAGTCACCTGCCTTTCAGAGTTTTGACCGCAACGATACAGGCACCATCACTGTTGTTGATGTTAAGTGCTTCACATTTCCAGACCTGTCCAAAACAACCTTCTCCCAGAATTCCGAGGAACCGTAAATGGTGGCGCGGAAATTCCCACTTCTTGTCTTCTGGGGTAATCTAATGAATATTTCCCAAACATATATCAAATATATATACCAGAATACATTCTCTTACATCCTGAGGTGTCCGGTGATAACGAAAGTTAGATTTTAGCTGTGTTATCCATATAGTCGTGTATTACATCACGTAACAAAAATAGTTTGCTGTCCCCAGAACAGTACTTTTAAATTTTGTTATAGCCCATCTAATCTATTAAACTGTGCCGTAAGTGAACACAAGCAATAACTACGAAAAACGTTAACAAACAACTCCTCCTTATACTATTGCATAAAAAGTTTATTCAACTTTTAAAGGTCATTAAAAACCTTTTTTTGCATAATATTTCCAAAATAATGTAAAAATTCTGAAGAAGAAGAAAAAAAAACTCGTTAGTCAAAACATCGTTAATGCTAAACTAACTCCAGAGGAGCAACGTTTCAGCTTAACTACAACAAAACAGTATCAGCTGTAATCAAGTATTTCAAAAACTCACAGGCCTAGATTTTCCACACAAAACAGTATCTGCTATGAATAAAGTATCTCAAAAAACTCGTAGGCCTAGATTTTCCACACAAAACAGTATCTGCTATGAATAAAGTATCTCAAAAAAATCGCAGGCCTAGATTTTCCACACAAAACAGTATCTGCTATGAATAAAGTATCTCAAAAAACTCTTAGGCCTAGATTTTCCACACAAAACAGTATCTGCTATGAATAAAGTATCTCAAAAAACTCGTAGGCCTTGATTTTCCACACAAAACAGTATCTGCTATGAATAAAGTATCTCAAAAAACTCGTAGGCCTTGATTTTCCACAAATATCGCCATATTTGACGTTATACAAGGGAAATGTATAAAATCTGGGGTAACTAGCCCTAACTTCCATTTTTATTATTAAAGAAAAGAAACGCCAGAATCAATCTTTACAATCTACAAAAATGTTTAAGATATCATCTAAATAATTATGTGTTTTAAGATAATATCATGCAACCTAGAATGTTTAAACACCATAAAGTATTTAAGAAGCACAACAGGATTTCTTAGAAAAATAGTGAAATACGAGTACATCTTAAAAGTTTTTCTTGTTAATAGCTATTTTTATAAGAACAGATTGCAAGATTTGGTTAAAAACTTACTTCCGTAAGATCCCCGGATTCATAGCGATTAGACGGAGCTCGCCTAGACCGCTGGTGATAAAGGGCGCTAGAGTGCTCACTTAGACCAAGATCGTTTGTCATTTCGCTGAGGTTGCGGTCCTGAACTTCCTTATGCTATTAAAAGGTAATCTTGCTCACATAAGTTATGAAATTTAATTACACTTATTTTCTTTTAACATTCTACAGAATGTAGCATCTAAGCATATACCATCGTCGTCTACAAACAAATTACAAATGTTTTTTTTTTTTACTGTTTGTTTTTAAAAAGAAATTAAAACACATTTACTTTATTGACAAACCAAATTAAGTCTTCTGAATATTTTCAATAAAACATAAAAGTTGAAATACTCATTACGCTGGAACGTCAAGAAAACTCACTATAACTGTTATTTAGGGACAGTGCATTTGAAAAATAGATCTGAAGCCAAATTCTCACCTGTTTAACTTCATTCTTGCTATAACGTTTCTTATAAAAAAACCACAGTAAAAATGCTACAATCGGAGCAATTCCTAATATAGCAACAATGAGCAACACGGTTGTTGTCACGTCGAAGCTTTTCTTATTATCATCGTTGTTGTCTTCTGCAACGTCCTCTTCCGAATTGCTAGGGGGTACTGTTGTCTTGGCTCCTTCGGGCGAGGAAGGGATGGAAGTGGAGGTAGTTGAGGAGGTGTAGGAAGAGACGTTTGAAGATTGTGAAGAAACGGGGGATATATTTTGGGAAGGTTTGATTGGGGAGGGGGCAGCGGTGGGGGGGTTAGGTAGGAAGGGATAGGAGGGAGGATTCGGGTGATAAGGCGGAAAGGGCCGGCGACCAGGGCCACTGCTCGGAAGACCGGGGATAGAAGATTCATCGATGGAAAACCATTCTTCAGGACCATCATTAGGCTTCAGTACTCGAACATAAACTTCAATCTTGGCCTACATAAGTAAAAGATGCCTGACATTCCACATGACTATTGAATACATCGCAAAGTAGGCTTAGCTAGCTTTAGCATAAGGTGTGCTCAGAGCTCACGATTAATGATTTTTATTGGCGTCATTATTCATCGTGAGGACAAAAAGAACATAGTTGATTCTAATTATCGAAATAATAATTTTGTGAAATCAAAAATAGTAAAAATTCGTAAATAATAAGCTATATTTCTTTCATTTTCATCAAGATTAATGTTTTTCTTGAGTCAGTTTTGAGAATCTTACATTTTTAAAAATGAAGTATTGTACTCCGTATTTTTGAGGGGAAAGCTACTAAAGCTATCTGTCTGTTGCTATTCATGATTTTAAGCTATTAACCAGGGGAAAAGCAGCCATTCAGCAGCACCCTATAATCCACTACCCACGTTAGAGGAATGACTGTCGCTCTTAAGACACAGCCATAGCTTAAAGTGCAAGGAACATTTGTGGCATCGCACGGATTTGAACCCGGGTCGCTAGCTCCGAAATTCAAAGCTCTACCACTAGTCGTTTTTAAAAATATAATAAATAAATAACGCAAACATGTTGTACTTTAGGTCATTCTTGTTTAAAGATAGTGTGTTTGGTTAATTTAACCTGTTAGTTTTATTATTATAATCTAAAACACATAAAGTTGGAAACGACTTTGTGTAAAGAATTCCCAATTCTGATAACCGAAACTAAAGTTACAAGAAATATTTATATGATTGTAATTAAGCACAAAGGGCTATCTGTGCTCTGCCCACCACGGGTATCGAAAACCAGTTTCTACCATTGTAAGTCCGAAGACATACCGCTGTGCCACTGGATGGGAACAAGAAATACATCAATTTTTCAGTAGCATGTTGTAGATTTTAGTTTGATTGATACTCGAAGAACACACCTTGTTTAAAATAAGTTTCAGACTAAGCTGTTTAACGAAACGACAATGATGTTACACGTTTAGGTGATAAAAAATGAAATGAAGCAGTCGTCTCGATTTGTTTAGATTTTAACTTATAATTAGAACAAATTAAATTTAGGATAAAAATATCATAAAACAATAAGTATCTTCGGAGCTAATTCAATAGACATCTAGTACTTCCAAAAATGTAATAATCACTAAATATGAAAAATTAATAACGTCAAAGAAAAGAAATTATCTTTAATCAAACATTTAAATTACCAGTCAAACTTTTTAAAAACACAAGATACATTGTTTTCATTCAACCTAAAAAATTCCTAGGAAATATTATATTAAATAATTCTTTAAACTATTAACATAATGTGCACCTACCATTTGATGACCATCATAAGCTGTGATGAACAGGTAGTAGTCATTTCCAGCCTATAAAAAGAGTTTAATAGCTGTGAAACTAAACAAAATGTAATTGTAACCATAATTCAACAAAAACGAAATACCAAAAGAGTCTTGATTACTGCTAGATATTAAATATTGAGTAAGATATAAACAACTGGATTATAATCACTGGTTACAGCCCTAGTATAAATAAGATTTGAGATTCCAGGAAATCTGTTAGATTATACAGCATACTTATTCATTTTTTTTATTTAGTTACTCCAGCGATATATTTGGGATAGCAGACATCCGCTAATCATTTGAATAGTATACAATCTTTCATGCCAAAGGGTTTGTTTGTTGGTTTGTTGTGAATTTCGCGTAAAGCTACACGAGGGCTATCTGCGCTAGCCGTCCCTAATTTAGCAGTGAAAGACTAGAGGGAAGGCAGCTAGTCATCACCACCCACCCCCATCTCTTGGGCTACTCTTTTACCAACGAATAATGGGATTGACCGTCACATTATAACGCCCCCATGGCTGAAAGGGCGAGCATGTTTGGTGAGACGGAGATTTGAACCCATGACCCTCAGATTGCGAGTCATGCCAAAGGGAAACAAGGTCCTTCCAAGAGCGTCAGATAGAATTTACATGTATTAAAATTATTTTTGTAATACTACATAGCGTCCAAGTGTTAAAAGACACTACAACAGTTTGTTAAACGAATAAAAATAAAATATTTTAAAAGATTCAGCTTAGAAGACGTAGATGGAAGTACTTCCCTCGTTTTCCTCAGGAACTCAACTTTTAATCCCAGATATTATTATCTCTAATGAAATTGGAACCAAGACGTCTCGTTTCCCGAATTGCAACCATTCAGCTAATTTCCGTTGTCTAGTGAAAACAGTTAAGGATATTGTAGCCTTTGACCCTAATTGGGAGTGATAAAAGCAATCATGTACCAAACTTCCACTGTTAATGTAATATTTTCAGATAGATTAATAAACACACACACAGGTGATGCTTTGATCGTTACCAAAATAATGTCCGGACTGACTAACAAGTACACTCAAATGGTGTCTTGAATGTTAAATATTGTCCATTTGAAACAGCAAACACGCATATAGAAAGTATCAGGCAGGCATTGTCTATGTAGAGATGGTTCGGATCGTTCGTTGAAATGGTATTTTAAATATCTCCTCAATAGATCATCAACTTTACAATATTATACCATGTTTCCTTTTATAATAATATCTATGTAATGACTGAGTCACAAGTTCTGGGAATGTCTGTAAATATCATAACAAAAAGTTTGAATTTCTTGTTCTTCTTTTTCATTACATGATAACTCAAAAACCAAAACAATGATGTTAACCAAATTTACTGAGGTGACATAGCTTCACACAGAGTATCCTTGTGTATAAGTATTATTAATCACTAATAGTAATAAAAAAACAATAATACTTTTGGTGTTAACGATGTTATCATTATCCCTTGAAGTTAGCTTTCTTACAGAAATTTGGTGTTCCTTTAAGAGGCGTAAATACAGAGTAAAACAGGAATTACCAGCCAATAATAGATAAACAATAAATATTACAGTTGGAAACTCATTGTATTAAAACTTGGTTATAAACACAACCTTCATATGTCTATTGAAACACTGCATTAATAAAACAAGTAAAGAAAATAAAAAAGGGGATTATATGTAGGGTTAGCTAATATCAATCCTTCAAAAACAATGCAAACAAGGTAGTAGAGATTGCATTTGCATCATCCTACATAATAGCACAGGCAAGAATTAATATATAGAAATATATATAATTATTCAATCACAATTGAGTTTAATTTATCCTACTTCTGTCTGTTAACACTCTACTACATTGTGTGGCTAAGCTAATATGTAGAGATGATGCAAATGCCATTCCTACTATCTTGTTTACATTGTTTTTGAAGGATTGATATTAGCCATCCCTACATTTACTTCTTTTTTTCAAAAGTTTTTTTCTTTACATGTTTAACTATTAATGAAGCATTTCCGGGATGGACTAACAAATATACGTAGCTAGTACTAAACAAGCAAGAATTTCTGATGGCGTGGATAATCTGGACAAAAAATACAGACAGACTCAATTAAAACATATGAAACGCAAGTGATGTTTGAATGTTGCATACCAATACATATGTTTTTCTCTTCCAAAATACTTTACATCATATCTAACGATATTATAATAATAAATTCTCCTCATATACGTATATATATATGCAAACATTACTTTTTTATAGCTGTTCTTCTTGACTTAATACTAAAGTCACTACTAGTTAAATTGCTGGAAAAAGCGCATATGAAGTCAACTAAATCGCCTTTTTTTTGTTTTTTCTTTACAAGTTATTAGAAAAGACGTTATACAGCTCAAGATAGGTTTGTTTAATTTCGTACAAAGCAATACGAGGGCTATATGTGCTAGCCGTCCATAATTTTGAAGTAATAGACTAGAGAAAAGGCAGCTAGTCAGCACACCTACCGCAAACTTTTGGGCTACTCTTTACCAAGGAATAGTTGGATTGATCGTTACATTATAACGCTCCCACGGCTGAAAGAGCGAGTATGCTCGGCGATGGGATTCGATTCCACAACCCACAGATTGCAAGTCATGCCAGGCCCAAAAGTTTGTTTCCATTTTTAGTAGCTCAAAGCAACACAAGTTAAAAATAACAATTTACTATTAGATCCTACTACATGAACCCAGGCAAGGGACTGACAATAAAATAAATCTGGTAATCACATATATAAGGATTAATATATATATAATCCACAAGGGGCTCAGCGGTAATTCTAAGGATTTATAACGCTAAAAGTTGGGGTTCGATAGACTAAGCATAGTTTTGCGTTTAACAATACACACATGTATATATATACCTATACACTTCTACAAAGTTTGTTCAGTGAAGCAAGTTAACAAATCAGTTGCATTAATAATTATCACTAGTTACCGCCCATAAAGCATAAATACATTTAAATGTTCGTGATTAGTCTGATTGAAAGGTTCATGGTCATAATTAGCAAATAGATATCCTTGGTAATTAATACTCTCTTCCTGATTTGTCTCTTCATCTGTAGGACATCTGCACAAAACTAACTGCTGACAAATACATGCAAACTGTGATCCATCATACCACTTGCCAGAGGAATATGATTCATCAGACGAGGATTCATCTTTCAGCAATCCACTGATTCGAAGCATACAACAAATAACTTGAAACTACAGCAAATCTAAAATTCTTAAAGCAAATCTAATATATTTAAAAGATAACCACGGGGAAGTCATATACTTAATTTGTTAGGATAAAACAATAAACGACACCAAAGTGTGATAAAATGTTCACTTATCCGTATGAGTCTCAATATATATAATACGTGTAAACCGTATCAAATCGTCAATCATTTATATTTATATGCACATACATTTTCAATATTTTCTCATTATGTTCATAAAAGTCTAAATTTTATTAACATGCTCATATTTAAAAATTTTATGACATTCTGCTCTTCGGTGGCTTAGTGGTAAGCTTGACGGTTTATAACGCTAACATTTGGGGTTTAATCCCTGTGCTGAACACACTGCATCTTTTAGCTTTTTGCCTAAACAAACAAGTAACCTTACTCTCCGTATAAATATGTGTGTAAATTTCAAACACTTTCTTAATATGTTTAAGAAAAGTTTAACGAATTAATGATAATATGTGAAAACTAAAACATTAGCTGATCCGAATTCTGATTAAACAAATGACCATAAGCAAAATCAATCTTGTAATTAAACATTACCTGACTAGATGTTGAGCTACACATTTCAGCCACGATAAAGTTGAAATATTTCTACAGATAACTTTGGTCACCTCGATTAAAAATGAACCGAAACGACATTAACGCTTAACAAACCTGATAATATATCTACATCATATACCACGTAGGATTGGGTCATACAAATATTGGGATAATATGATAATTTCAAAAGTTATAATAACCAAAATTCAAAGTTGCAGACAGAAGGAGACATGTTTTAAAGGAGAGGAAAAGTTATCGTCAAAGAAGCTGGAAAATTTAAAGGTAAAGTGCACTGAATATTTTTGATGTACAATCAAGTTTGAGGTTCATTTTTTATAACATAAGCTGCGGTAAAGAAATGAGGAACAACTAAATAACAGGACCTACAGCAGGGCCATGGAACGCTAAAAAATACGACCACTCCCATAGTCTGAAAAAAAAAACTATGAGCCTGCTGTGGTGCACATGGCACGTGGTATTTTCATTGCACGTACTAAACCCTGCCATTAAAGTGAACAATACACGTCTGTCAGTTTAAAAACTTTCAATTAGATCGTACAAGATCCGGGAGCGCGTGGAGGCGTCTGCAAGCACTTATTCGTGGCACGTGTATCAAAATCCACCTTAAGATTTAAAAAAAAAAGGGAATTAGGTTATTTTTGTTCATTATATGCACGACGACTGTGTCATTCTTAAACTGATAACGTTATGTACTTTCTCAGAATTAATAATTATACCTAGGCCTCTTTTGTTCTGAAGCGGAATCTTGTAGAAACATTTTTGTATGCATGGCCGTACATTTCAGCGTATACCGACGTTTTAATCTGATAGTTTCATCGTCTATTTACAAGCTTCTGTAGACAACTGACTATTAAACTGTTAACGAAAAACACCAAGAGGGAAGAACGTTAGTGAACGGGAAAACATTCCATAAGTAACACAGTTATTTTATTTGCCGACATAAGATGACAGATATATCAAAATGGAAGCAAAATCCCACTGTAACATTAGAGTAACGTCTTACTGAATTACATTACATAATGTACAATTATTTAGTGTTATATTAAACTTATTAAAATAGGAATGATTTCTATTCAATAAGATCACATAAACATCAACCAATGAACAAACATAACACAGTGAGGGTTTCAAAATAACATCAATCTTAAGTGTCCAGGGTATTCCCAATGGATCATGGTACGTTTACACGCAATTTCTTCAACGCT